TTTCAGAAGCTCAATTTAAAAGACTAATTAAAAAATCTCCATTTCTCAATAATGAATAAACATTACATCAAAATAATAGTTTGATTGACTCTTTAAAATAATTAAATGATTTTACAATGTTAAACAGTGCGAACATAGCAAAGAAATGCAAAAGACTCAATTCACTTGAACAAAACTATGGTACAGAAAGAAAACTTGAAATTTTAAATAGATAAGTGGCATCAAGTGTCTCATTCATACAGCATTTATCATAGTAATGTTCAGATATGTATGTTTTTGAATGTTCAGCATGCTCTCCAACATGTACACTGACTGTAATGCAGCTGTCCTTCTTGTCTATCCTATAATCCTACTGCTGTGACTGTCCTATTGTCCTGTTGTCCCATTATCCTACTGTACTGTTCTCCTGCTGTCCTATAGTTCTCCTACTGTCCTGCTGTCCCACTGTCCTGCTGTCCTATAGTTCTCCTACTGTCCTGCTGTCCCACTGTCCTGCTGTCCTATAGTTCTCCTACTGTCCTGCTGTCCCACTGTCCTGCTGTCCTATACTGTATTGTTCTCCTACTGTCCTGCTGTACTATACTGTCTGGCTGTCCCACCGTCTTACTGTCCTGCTGTCCTATACTGTCTGGCTGTCCTGCTGTCATAGCTATTGTGCTGCTGTCCCACTGTCTTACTGTCCTGCTGTCCTATACTGTCTGGCTGTCCTCCTGTCATAGCCACTGTGCTGCTGTCCCACTGTCTTACTGTCCTGATGTCCTATACTGTCTGGCTGTCCTGCTGTTATAGCTACTGTGCTGCTGTCTCACTGTCCTGCTGTCCTACGCGTACGCCACAATATTATTGCTGTCCTATTGTCCTGCTCTCTCATAATGATAATTGTCCTACTGGCTAGACCGGTAGACCCACCCATTATGATGATGGTTAGCATTACGTCATTTGGATACCTGGTACATGAGCAATGACCCGAATTTTTGTTTGAAACTATTGAATTTGAAAGGACTCATACAGATATGTCAAAATTATCAAAGTAACTGCAAATGTCAGTGCAGTAAGAAATATAATGGCCAAGGCCCTCCTCCTCAACCACTGCCACCTAGTAGTAGCCTTTCAAGTGAGTGAAATTGATTTATTGCATGCATTGTTTATGGTTCTAATATTATACAGGCGGTAGCCTATATGTAGGGTTGAGGTTGATTTTTCAAGTTGGCGACCAAATTTATAATTTTAAAATGATTATAACTCTTCTATCTTACCTTGTACAGCTTTATAAATGGCTTAGATGAGCTCTCCTTCACTGAGCGATTCTCCTGGTACCTTTAAAGTGGACTGTAATGTAGCGGAAGGATTTCTGTATAATAGGCCCAAATTCAAATTTCTGCTAAATTCTTCAGACTTTTTCTTCTTCTTTCATCTTCTATGCACCAGATAATCTTTTAAACTAGAAAACAGCTCAAGTTGACATTCACATCATTTCTTGGAGCGTGAGTCAAGGACTACAAAGGTGCTTTCCATATTTTAATTTATGTTAGATTATAAACTAGTTATTTGGGCGTGATATCACCGCCCCTTAAAATTAGTCGCCATTTTGAACTTAATGCGCATGCTCAGAGTTGCTATAGTGACTGACTGACTGCACTGGGTGAATTCGCTCTATTCTTCTCTTTCTCTGCATACTCGTTTGTTCAGCAGTGCGCAGACTAAGTGATTAACAGTTCTTTTAAGAGCTAATCGGTATATTATTTTGAAATATAATATAATCTTACAGAGCCATGAGAGCGCAACATAATTTACAGCTGCTCAGTTTTGATAATTTTGGACACCTGTACCTAAGCCAGATCACTAGAGTTCAGTGTATTTCATTATACTTCTGATATTGGATATATTGAGATAAGTCTATACAGTTATTTTTTAAATGATAAGCAGTAGTTTACTTGTACCTCCTGCATATATGTACTTGGTATTATGGTATTTATTTGTTGTGTTAATGTTAAGTGTAGTTGTGGTGCTGTTAGTTGTAAAAAAGGAAGTAGGAAAAGGAAAAGTGACTTACCTGGGTCTAAATCCAAAAAAAAGTTCGCCAAGATGTATGATAATAGAAAGGAAATAGAAACTTGTATATCTAAAAACAGGTCCTATGCTAGAGCTTGCTACATAAGGCATTGTAAGAGGGTCAAAAGCAAAGCCAGAGATACCTATAAGATAAGTAAAAAATAGAAGCTTGGGTATTCAAAAAAACTTTATGCATTCAACCCAGGTTACATTTTGCAAAAATGTAAAAATTGGTATAGTAAAAACAAGGACTGCAAAATTTTAAAATCAACTTGCTATTCTAAAACAAATTATAGTAGTAATCCAGACCAAAAAAAAGAAGCCTCTAGAAATCATTATCAAAAAAATCCACAGCCAAAAAAAGAAGCCTCTAGAGATCAGTATCATAAGAATCCACAACCAAAGAAAGAAGCCTCTAGAGATCAGTATCATAAGAATCCACAACCAAAAAAAGAAGCATCAAGAGATCTGTATCATAGGAATCCACAACCAAAGAAAGAAGCATCTAGGAATCATTATCAAAACAATCCGAACCCCCAAAAAAGTAAATGAAAGGAACGCTATCATAAAAATTGAGGCTTTCAAAAACAAAACTCCTTAAAACAGTATTACATGAATAGAGACGCAATATTATGTGCTACAAAAGATAAATTTCTGACATATAAATTTTCTGATAATGAAATGGATAAGTTGCACTAATCAAGGAAAATAAAAGGCGTCTAAATAAAGATTATTATGAACGTAATTATTGTCACATATTGTATAGATTATGCTCAAATTACTCATTACCTGCACCAAATAGTGAAGCAAAGGAATATTATTTTATAAAAATTAAAGAAGCATTATATTACAACCCCGAAATAGTTGTTGATTTATTTCCATCAAGTATGAAAGGCATAGATTTTGAGAACACATCATATGACAGTAAATGTAATGCTGCTATATTGTTAGAATAAGTTTTGAAAAACAGATCCCCACAAAGTAGGTGTATTGATATGTGCAGCAAATAGCATTAGGAAATTGAAGTTGAATAGCTTTAGTGACTTTGGTGAGCAATGTCACACAAAAAATAGTGAGCCTTATTTTTATGAATCAGCATATATGTATCCTAATGATAACTCTGATAGCCAATTAGATACACACCCAAGAGTTACCATGCATGATCCGTGAATGATGGGTATCAGGCCTGGACCAGGTCTGATTCTATAACGGTCCAGCATCGACGGCCATCACTGCTGAATCGAGGCTGTTGCTCTGGCCTGGACCAGTATCTATTTCAGTCCCGATGTAGTCATAGCTGATACAGTAGTGTCTGTTCGTCAGCACTGGTCCAGGCTGTATATCAGTACTGGATCAGATTGATGCTTTTTAAGATGGCAGCCCCGTGTGGACTATCTGACATGTTTTGTTAAAGAAAATCATCTTAATCTGACTTTTTAAGAGGAATCTTGTTGGCTGTATACACTAGGGCTAAATCACTGGATGTTATGTGAGTACCGTGGACCACATTAAATGTTATACTATTTTTAGGCTATTTTGAACCATTTATTACTTAAACATGAGTAGGATACATCATATTTTGAGTAAAAAGTAGGCACATGTAGATACACAATCAAGCTAAATAAATTAATTGAGCAGATACATGACTGAAAAATAAAACGACTGACACTTTCCAATTAAAGTTTACCACATCTTGCCTACAAAATCTCTATGATATGAAAGTAGAGACCTGGGTTTATGAGGAATTATCAAAGGGGTATAAACTGCATGAACAAACTTATAATAAATTTAGGCTAATTATTATTGTGAGATTAATGACTTCAGTTTAATTGACTATAATTTGAAATACATACCTTTCATTATGGATTCTCTGTTAACTTTCTAGTATTGAGCCAAGCATTGAAACAGAGCCAGAAAACCTTTCTGCAATAATCATGACACTGGTGAAGACGATGAGAAATCAGGCGTAAAAATGGTTCACTACATGTGATTGTAACTATGTTTTTAATTAGGGTGAATGTATTAGTGATCATGATGATGAAGATATTGTACTGAGAGACTTATGAATGATAGTCACAAGTGTGGTAAAACAGTTTATTGATTATGTGTGTAATTGTTACTTTTCCTTAGAATTTTTGATGCGGAAGATTATTCTGGAAATATTAGTATAGTAGGTGCTCCTTTAATTCATATTAATTTATTAATTTAGCAAGGCCACTAGTATACATTCTATAGTTACCTTATCTCACTAAGTTTCAAGACAAGAATATCTTAGGTTTGTTTAATTTCATGTGAAAAGCTAAATTCATTATTCAGGTTGTGATGAACCGAAACTTTCTTGTTTAAAGCTCTTGTTAAGGTCAGTTTAATCATAGTATTTTAATTTATTATCATCATTTGTCATTATAGTTCACTTCAAATAGCATTGAATTTTTTTGTGAACCTGCCTTCATCATGCTGGTTAAGGAAGGTATGTAGTTCCTTTGCTTATGTAGAATTTATGCCTCATTATAGTTATGTTATGGAACTAAGCTTTGTAGGACTATGTGTGACAAGATACCTTTGAAAGATCTGCTTCACTACATGGAACCCGAGAGTTCATTAATGTTGGAGATTTTGGGAAATTAATTTCTCAGTAATGTAAGTTTATTAATTTTAGTGCCTTCTTAATTTATGGCTCTTTAGGTGTCTTAACTTACAAAACATGAAGTGTCTTACTTGTAGAACATTGGTAGACTATGATGAAGAAAACAATTATAATCTTTTTTTTGGTTTTAATAATAATTCCAAATCATTTAAAATTAACAATGAATAATAATTAGGTATTAATTAAGCATGAGCATAACAGGAAGTACGTCATAATGAAGCTTAATGAATATCGTTGTCGTTGTCGGATCAGGCCTGGCACCAGCATAAATCGTGGCTGATTCGTCAATATCGGATCAGGACATTGCCCCAAATCCTCGGTCCAGGCTCGATCATTGGTGATAATTCAGGCCTGTATTAGGACTGGTCCATGTTCCAACTCTTGGGCGTGTAGTCCAATTGCAATCCCTGTTGATGCAAATGGCATTTGTTATGTAGCAGGGAGTGTTGATGTATCATGTATTGACAAAGCAGAAGAATGTAATGATGATAGCAACTCTGAAGATGACAATTTTGATAATAATAGAATGTATACTAATAAGAGAAAACCTACCCTCAAATGGCAGTGTACAGACAGGTGCAAGCCTTTATTAGAGAGTGACATTAGTTCTATTATTGAAGTTAGACGATATTTTGATGAACCAATTAAAGAATTGAGGAAGCATTTAGAAGCATGTGATAATTGTCCCAATAATCGTTATACGTCAAGATCCCTGCATGTCAAAGAAATAGATCAAGTGCATGAACATGATTTTTGTGATAATGCAAATGTAACGATAATTGTTAAAAAAGATGAAAATAATGTTGAAAAATATTTTAAATATTCAGAAATTGTTTGTGAAAGGATAGGCGATCCTATTATGTGTAGTATTAAAGATACTGAATGTAAAAGCATGTTGCGTATTTTACGCAAAGCATCTGTTCATTACCCTTTGTTGAGACGCCTTTTAAAACACTTTTATGTTGCTAGAAATGCCCATTTAAAAAAAGATATTATTGATTCTTCCCTTGCTGATGATGATGTAGAACAATTGATCAATTTAAAAATTAACAAAGCCGATGAGACTGAATTGGATAATGTGTATTATGCTATTAATGATGGTGAAGAAGATGACCCATTTAGAATACCAAACTTAGATACTCTACTTTATTTTCAGTATTCAGATGCTATTAATGAATTTAGGAAAGCTTTGTCTGATCAGGCTGTTAATGCTTGTTGCAGCTGTGAGAGGTTTTTAAGAAAAAAGTCTGTCACTGAAGCTAAAAATTTAAATAGCGATGTTTTGAATATCCTATTTGATTACATTAGAGAGAATGATCCTACGGCATTAAATTAAGTTGTGTATATTTGTAATCATTGTAAACCTATTAATAGGAAAATTGAAGTTCTAGCACATTGTGTGCTCAATGGGTTAAAGTGTGAGCCACTACCCAAAGAATTGGAAAATTTGGATCCTTTAAGTTACCAGTTAATACAGAGGGCCAAGTGTTTTCAGACAATTGTTAGGCTAGGCACACACACCTTAAAAGTGCCTACGTATAATTCTTTGAAGGCTCTTAAAGGTGCAATGTTTTATTTACTCCTTCAATTAGAAAAAACAATGGAAACTTTAAATGAAGTTGGTATAAATTCTAATCACTTGCCTAATCCAGAACTTTATATTATTATTAATGGACCACATACAAAATCAAATAATGTCTGGCATAGTTTAGTTGATGTAAATAAAATAAAAGCAGCAATAAGAAAATTAGAAGAAATAAATTGGCTTTATAGAAGTGTAGACGATGATTCAATTGACGAATCGTCTGAAAATGTTATACACGTAGTAAGCAATACTACTTGTAAAATGCTTGAAAAAGCAAATGATCCAGATTTAGAAGGCCTTTCGGCATATACAATTAGAAATCTTGATAGTAAAATTGCAACAGTTTCTGATATTAGTCAATATAAATTAATGAATGTAAAAGAAGCGCCAATTGACAATAGGCAAGAGCATCTTGATTTGTTATGCTTTCCTACTTTATTTTCAACTGGACAATATGGAGAGCATCATCCCAGACAAAGCTATCCAGCACAGACTTTATCATTTAGTGAATACATAAAATCAAGACTTTAAAACAAAGATTCCCGATTTCGTAGAAATCATTCATATTGTTTGCACTATTACGGATTAAAAATTAACAAGGCCTTAAAAACTGGCATATATAATTTATTAAAAGCATCAAGGGGCAACCTTGGTCAAACTGTTGCAGAAATATTAGAAACAATAAATGTGTTACATGAAAAATTCGAGGGCAATTTAAGTACCATGTTGGCTCCAATACGGGGCACAAATCAATATTGGTTTCTTGTGAAAGGTGAAGTCAAAGCAATGATTGCTGAGTATGGCTCACCAACACTTTTCCTTACATTAAGTTGTGCTGAATACGATTCAGCTGATATAGTGCAATATTTAAGAAAAGTGAATAATGCACCACAATCATAGTATTTCTAGATTATGTACAAAGGACCCTGTTTCAGTATCATGACAATTTTCATACAAATTTAAGGATTTCTTGAACATAGTCATTCTCCAGAGAGGTGTTCTAGGCGAAGTAGAGCAATATTATGTTAAAAAGAATATCAAATGCGTGGAGTGCCTCATTATCACATCCTCCTATGGATTGAAAATGCTCCTGTTGTCGGTATCGATTGTCCAGAAGAAGCCTGTTCATTCCTACAAGATAGAATAACCTGTCATATACCAGATAGTAATACGTCGCCTGATTTAAATTTTTTGGTAACAAAATACCAAATGCACAAGTGCAGCAAATATTGCAAATGAAATATTAAAGTCGGCAAGACCGATGTAACTAGATGCTGATTTGATTTTCCTAGACCAGTACGAGATAGTATTTGCATCAATGATGTTGAAAATAGCTTGAAATCATGCAACAAAATATATTATCTCAAACGAAATGAAAAAGAAGATCGAGTCTACGACTACAATCCTTTACTGTTGAAATTGTGGCTTGCAAATATGGACTTGCAATACATAGCTGAAAAGAGTCTTTCCTTAACAGAGTATGTAACTGGATATGTCACTAAAGCAGAAAAGAGTCATGCACAGGACTTATGGAATGAAGTCAGCAGCTGTGACAACATATACAGCAGGCTTTGGAAAATCAGACAAAATCTACTTCGAGCTAAAGATGTAGTATTATATGAAGCTGGCGATCTTCTCGGTGAAAGTTTATACATGAAATCAGTAACCGTACAACACGTTAATGTGTACTTGCCTCATAAGAGCAGGAAAATCAAAAACTATTCATATTTAACTAAAATGGATCGATCTTCGAAAGACATTTTTAATCCTAGCATAATTGAAGACTTTTATCCAACAAGACCAAATAACATGGAAGATGTATCTCTTTGTGAATTTGTTGCTAATTACAAATTTGATAAAATAGGAGACAATGGAGAAAGAGAATACAAACTTTGATCAAAGCCAGTCCTTCCAAACCATAGCAAATTTAATCCTATGCAAGAAGCGGAAAGAGACAATTTTTATTACTCGCTAATATTTTTATTTGTGCCTTTTAGAGACGAGAGCACACTCGTAATGAAAGGAGAAACAATGGAAGAAGCTTTTAGGCGTCACAGAGAAGCATCTATACGTGGCATTAAAAATCATTTCAACAAACAACAGAAATTATAAGAAGCTGAACATAATTGGAAGAAAATAGTCGATGCAAGAAATAAAGCCGGTTTTACTGAAGAAGAACTGCCTGATAACAAGGAAGATGATAAGCCTCAATTATTTGGTGAAATAATGGAAGCAGTAGCTGATATTGCTGACATGCATATAAATGTACCTAATTTAACATTAAAGCAAAGAGAGGCAATACTTAATGTAGATCAAAAAAGAATTTAGGATAAAATTAAGAGTCATCTTATAAGTCAAAAAGAACGTGAAGACTTATTAGAAAATGAGTGTTCAAGACTACTTAGATTAGATAATATCAAACCACTAAGGATGTTTATTAGTGGTGTAGGTGGAACTGATAAATCGTTTTTGATAGAGGCAATAAAATGCCTAGTGGATGACATATGGCATCCAAAAAGTGGTGAAATTATGTGTGCTATAGTAGCACCAACAGGTATAGCCGCATTTAATGTAGGCGGACTAACAATACATAGATTATTTCAGCTACCAATAGAGCATGAGGGAAAGACAACTGGATATTGGGCTTTGAGTAAAGAAGCTCAGAAAAGAATAAAAATGACACTTAAAAACTTAAAAATTATAATAGTAGATGAGGTATCTATGGTATCCAATCTAAATCTAGCATACTTACACATGCGCTTAGAAGATATATTTGGAACTAATGAATGGTTTGGATCCAAAAATACTTTATTTGTAGGTGACCTCTTACAATTGCCACCAGTTAATGGTAGACCAGTATTTAAAAAAATTAGCAACCAACTAGTAAAAACTAGAATTGGAGTAGCAAATGCAGTTAACATATGGAAAGAAACAGTAGAATATGATAAACTAACAATCAATGAGCGACAAAAAGGAGACGAAACTTTCTTTAAGATGCTTGATTCTGTTAGGCATGGCTGTCTGACTGATGAAACTATTGATAAGCTTAAGAGTCACGTATTTAAGGTTTCAATACAAGAAAAATATAAGGAATTGGAAAGTGAAGGAACAAATCCTCCAATTTGCCTATTTTCTAAGGTAGACGCCTGCAAAAAAATCAATGAATTAATGTTAGAAAGTCTAGAAACTGAGAAAATTGAATTAGCATGTGTAGATGTTGATGAAAGTGGCAGCACAGCAAAATTTGACAAAAAAACAAGAAAAAAATTAGGGAAACTAAAAGATCATTCAAGCAAAACAGCTGGTTTAGAAACTGTATTGTCTTTAGCAGTAGGCTGTAGAGTAATGCTAAGATGTAATATTGATGTGACTGTAGGATTAGTTAATGGGGCCATTGGTACAGTAATGGGTATTTATGCTACACGTATATCAATCAAATTTGATCATATTGATGTACCTTGTGACATAGAAAGGGTTACATCTAGATTTATGCTATCTAAGAATTTGTATATACATAGGAAACAG